AATGTCCATTTATCATCAAAAAGGTACCAATGGACACACACTCTCCCCAGCCCCCCAAGAACGTGACTGTAATTGGAGGTGGGGTGGGTCTTCTTTTTGTGTAACAAATTTAGCCATTTATGTTTCCATTTCTTTGTCACAGTGATGTTATGATGGGATTTACGCTCTGTGGTTCTAAACAGAGCATGCTTAATATTTGACCTGCAGAGAGCGACACTTATTAAACTATCTACAATATTCCTGGTACAATGTTAATCTTTGTAGAAAATTTGATTTTAATCAGGTGAATAGGATAATGTTAACAGAGTGTCAAAATTCTGCAATTTCTGACTGAGAATCTTTTTAAATTAAATTAAGATTGGAATCTTTTTAAGTAATGGTGCTAAGGGATATCACTCGCTTCTCTTTTAGCTTAACCATTATATATTTTGATATGTAAAGAACTGGCATATTGTAGAGTAGAAAACTTCTATTTTAAACACAAATCTACATAATAAAGCAATAATACAAAAGTAGTAGAGGGAGAACATATCTAACAGATTTTGTTAGAGAGGGTCATGGCTTTTATATCACAATATATAATTGTATTATTACATAATAAATGTACATAATACTATATGAAAATTATATAAAATTACATAAATATATTATGTGTTATAAATACATAATATATAACTACTCATCTTAATATGGAGATACTTATCTTTTATATTTATACAAAATATTTATAAGCCACTTACACACTTATTTCACCCTGAGACTAGCTCTTTGAGATTTCTTGTCTTATTTTACTCCTTTTAAAGTAAAACATACAAAGATATTATATATTATTACTAATTATATTCCCCATGCTGGACATTTCATTCTCATGACTCAGTTATTTCGCTTGTTTAATTATTTAATGTAGTATATACTTATGTATAGGACCCATTTTACAGTTGAAAAACTAAGCTAAAAATTGAGAATCACATAAATGGCCAAGGACACGCAGCTTAACAGAGACAGAGCTGGGATCCCTCCAAAACCAGTGCTCTCACCTTTGCACCTATTCAAAGCAGAATCCAAAACAGCATTATACTATGATAAATATTCTAATATCATACATAGATATATTAAAATATGAAATGTGTGTATCTGTTATAGGGCAAAACCCAACCTCTTCTCTAGAAATATATTTCTGATCTGAGACAACAATTAATGGAATAATAAGTTTCAATATATGTAATACATTTCACAGATAACTATTCAAGAATCTTACCAAGGGACACAGGTGAATATTTGCCTAAGATGGAAAGCTTCTAGGGAGCATTGTTTCACTTATTTAGTCATTATTTGCAATTTGCCAAAAATTAATTGATACAGAGTATAACTTCAATATCCTAATAGAGCTAAGACTTCCTACAAATCAATTAACCATGATACAGAGCTTGAAATTGCACTCAGCTGCTATGTAATCAAAAGATAAACAACTGTAGGTATCAAAACTATGCATTTTTGTTATGAGTCTTAACATTTTTCATGGACCTAAAGCACAGTATGATAAAACATTTCTGGGAGTTTCCTGGGCTGGAGGTACTGTTTATGAATATAATTGGGTTCATTAAAGCCAACCAAGCAGTTTATTAATCAGTAAGCTAGACTGGCACAGAATGTAATAGAAATTCTTTATCTATGATATGCTTAATATTTTATATTAATATAAAAGCTATTGATTTGACATATAATACAATAAACTTGAAGCCAGCAACAAGTATAAGGAACTATTCTCACTCAAATCCATATGTTCCTTATCATAAAGCTATCAAAGTACCACAGTCCTAAGAATACCTTCGCAATATGGGCCATGAAAACCATCATGGATAGCAACTGAAGAATTTGTCATGAAAATCATCATGGACACCAACTGAAGAATTTGTCACGAAAACTATCATGGATATCAGCTGAAGAATTTGTCTTGAAGGTGTGTTTCAGCCAGCAAAGACCCATTGTACTACACCTTGGATGGAAGTGCTAGATTTAAAAAGACCTGCTGGTCTTCTGAACTATAGGTATTGAAGTTAGGTACTCTCAACTATATGTCATCTTTTACTAATAAAAATAAAAATCTTTACAAAAATAAACACTTTCAAGTGTCTATTTAAAATCCTAGCATAACCAATCCCCCACTAAATAAATTAAAATAAAGGTAACACAGAGAAACAACTGTAGGTGAGTACTCATATCTTCTAGGGTAAATCATCAGAAAAAGAAAAACAAAAACACTTTTGGCAGTTAAAAATGGCAACAGTTCCTGTTTTAGTTCAATTAACTTGTTACAACCAGATATAGTGAGCCAGACAAACCATACCTCACTTTATGGGGAAACAAATTATAATAAATTATTTTAAATGTAACTTTAGTATTTTCTTACATAAAAACAACCTGATGAAACTACTCTGGAGAATTCAACAATTTCACATAAACGCATACCGTATAAAAGAGAACTTTGAAAAGTACAACAGAAACTGCCAAGTTCTACAACATTGTCAGGATAAGTCCTTAGTATTCACTTGTATGCCAAAAGTAATGTTATATTTGAGAATACTACAACTTCATTTTTAATTGTAAAGGCCATCATGTGAGACTATCCTGAGAAGCGATTTAACAAAATTATAAATCACAATTTCAACTAATATCATCAGAATTCCATTTTTCTCTCTGATGAATTATTTCAGTGACAGAAAAAGAAACCGGCTTGTATTCTAATTGTGAACGACGTGAAGTTGCTGGAAATACTGTAATTTGACAGTGCGTGACTCTTATTTCAAACAATGAAAACATCAGTGACATCTCCAATGATTAAGCTCCACAACGACGCAAACATACACCAAATTAAATAACTCCTTTCCACAAGGCTATGACAATTTTATTAGAGCAACGACCTCCTCTACTCCCTACAATTGCCATTCAATCAAGTACTATCATTTGCAACCCACAATATAACATAAGACTCCCGCATCCAATACATGCAGTTTTACCCACACCCATAAGCTGCTCTCCGTGAACACACGGAAGCACAGAGTCATCTCTACTAGTCCTTTAGGAATCATGTTTAAAGCTGAAAAACAAGATTCAAAAGGAAAGTGAAAGGAGAGACATGAATGTGTACTCCATCGACTGTTTCATTTTGCAAGAAATTTGATATGAAAACAATGCAACAAGCACAAGAGTGTGCTTGAAGTGCTCTTGGAAAGTTTTCTGAATGTGAATAAGGTGAAAAAAGCAATATTGGTTAAAAAAAAAAAACAAACACAAACACACTGGAGTCACAAAGATCTTGCTAGTCTTTCTGTGATGCTGAGATATGTTAGCTGTGTAATCACAGGTCTCCTAAATTTCAGCATCTAACCCCAAATGCAATCATTTTCATTCATACCCTGAGATCATGAAACCTACAGACCAGTGAGAATGCCACTGAATGCTCTCCCCAAAACATTAAAAATGGATCCTGCATGTGGCAAAGAGATTTCACGGTGCTTTAGAGGATCGAGTCCATATTAGAGGATGTCTGCCCTTATCTGTCATACTTCTTATAGAGCCAGCTCCCCAAACCAGAAACAGGTGCACTCCTGTAATTCGATGTGAGTCATATCCACCACTTTTTCCATGGGATTTTAAAAGTGGCGCAGCTCTAAAGCCTCTTAGTCCTGCAGGTGAAGTACTAACAGCGAAGAGAAGAACTGAACTACCCTAAGTAGCTGATGGTAGTTAAAAGCTGCTGATGCGAAGGGTGCACAATGAGGTAACTAACTCTTAGGTAGTTTGAGCACCTCCCTATTTAAGTCGTTGCAGAAAATTGCAAGCATCTCAAATATTCGTCACCTAGTTCCCAAAAGTGAAAACAGATACAGATCAGGCCTGATACCATGGTTAGGAGGCAACGCTTCTCTAAACCAACATATCCTCTTGGTAACATCAGGCATGAATGTTAAAAACATCTTTCAGAGCCGAAGCGAACCAAATCAGTTCGGGGGGAGGGGAGGACCAACCGAGGAATAACAATGTGCCCCTCTTTTCCCTCACACTCTTCCCTATCCCCAACATCTGCAGGGAAAACACAACTTTAGGCATTTTCAGAAGTAACTATTCATGGTGGAAACCACATACACACCCCAAAACCTCTCAGACTGTTTTCCTACCACACAGACCAGGGAGGCTGCACTGCCTCTCTAGCGACTTAATTCTGAACGTAGTGGCTGGAACCAGCTGCGCAGCCATCGATGGAAATACATTACACACCAGAATGAGAGGAAGGTCGGCGAACAAGGAAAGCATCTGTGCTTTCGGCCATTAATTACCGATCACCCAAATATCGCCTCGCAGCCTCCCACCCACATGCACAGCGTTCCGAACCTGGGTTTCAGGCGGCGCTTCCCGGAGCTTCGCTATCTATTGTCAGGACGCAGAAGCCCCCGAAACCTGGGAATCGAGCTGAAAACGCTGCCTCTGAAACAGCTAAATATAGACCCAAGGGGCTCTGGGTCTGGCAAGCAGCGGGAGACGGGAGAAACAGCCATGGACGCATATGACTAAGTATTTCTATTTTGTTTTAGCCAAACATTGTAATGACATTGAACATAAGGGCAAAAGATTGGAGGGGAGTCCTCCCCACCCCCACCCGTCTTCTCCCGTATATTAGGGACGTCATGAATGCCACGGGTAGGTTTGGGAGGGTGGCGGGGAGCAGTATTGTTGGTGTTGCCCTATATACGCCTCCTCCGGGGGAGATGGGTGGCGGGGAGGGGAGCACGCAGAGAAAGCACTCGGTAATCGCTCCGAGAAAGGCACTAACCCCGACCCCCCGTTCCAGGCTCGGCCGTCTTCCGAGCGAGGGGACCCGGCGCGATCGCCGTCCTCCCCCGGCCAGGAGCCGCCGAGGAACAACCCCCACCGGCGGCGAGGAGGAGCACGACGCCGAGCGGGATGCGCCTGGCCCCAGTCGCCCGGCCAAGGCAACTCACCGAACGGCGCGGCGCCGGATTGCCTCCTCGCGAACATGCACCCGCCGCCAGCGACAGCTCCTCAGTCCGGGGAGAGGCGTGCGCGCCGCCGCCCGGCTTCAGGGCAAGGTCCTGACCTTGCTCAACTGCAGCATCTTCCGCTTTTGTTGTCTGAGCGCGGCCGCGGGACAAGTGATGCCAGCGGGGAGCAGGGGCGAGCGCCGCGGGGGAGAGGCGGCTCCCCGACGCGAGTGCGCGAGGCTCCTCCCGCGGCGCGCGGCAGCCTCAGCCTCCACCTATGCCTCCGCGGCCGGCTCGGGCGCCCGGCTCGTGAGGCAGCGTCCGCCCCGCCGCCCGAACCTGCCCCGGGTGCCGAGCATGCCCAGTGCTGCCGCCGGAGCGCCGCGCTTTGCCGTGCGCATTCCACTTCTGGTTTTCGCGGCAGCAGCGGGGGAGAGGGGAGGAGGCCGCGGGTTGGGAGACGGCCGAGCATCCTTGGGAACGCACACCCCGGCCCTCAGATGGGTGGATGCTCGCGAACCCGGCGAAAGCTGGAAGGGACTCGAGGAAGGCCTGGAACCCTGGGTTGGACCGATGCTCAGAGGGCCGGTTCCTTCATGTATGTGCAACATGCTGACAATTTCTTGTGTGGCAGATGTCAGCGTGCAAAACAAAGAGCGGGGATGGAAGGGGTCCTAAGGGAGCAGGTGTGTGCGTTGGGGCCGGCGGCAGGCTGACTGTGCCTGAGCTGGGTGGAGATGGAGTCTCTCCAATCCTGTGGTTCTAGAGCAAACATCGCCAGGACAGCCACCTCTGAGCTCCCCACGGCGTCTGTCCCATCTTCCCGTCACTTCCAGTGCTTCGATGAAACATGCTGTTCGCGGGTGGAGAGACTTTGTCCTTAAATGAAATCCCTTTGATTTGGACCCTGGAATGTATCTAACTTCCTGCTAGAGAGACTTGCCTAGTCTGGAACTTGAATAGATCGCAATGCTAAACTCCCCTCCTCCCTCCTCTTCCGTCAGCTCCCCCGCTTCTTTCTTCCAACTTCGGCACTTCGGCCACCTCGTCTTCCTCCTCCTAGCCCCCCGCCCCGCCACCTCCCAGTCGGAGATGAAAACCCTTACCCGTTGCTTCCCGCAAAGTTTCCCTATACCCCTGCATCGTTCTCATCCTTTTCCGCTTCTTCTGTCACCTCCTGGTTTGACAGCTGATGGACTCCTCGGGGGCTTCTCTCTGCCTCTCTTGCTGTGAAATGCAGCCAGTAGAAATCGCCGCAGTGAACAGTGAGTCTTGTTAGAAAACAAGACCCTTGACTTGTGCCCAGGAGGTCCTCTGGGCCTTCACCTGCGTCCTCACTTTCAAAAGTCATGACTGGACTCAGCCCTATTGCAATTACAAGACAGGCACAGCGCACCGTGCCCGGGGACCAGGGCAAACGCGCTTCCTAATAGTGCCACAGCGCACCATCCCTGACCCTGCGGATCCCAGGTTGACGGTGGTTAGGAGCTTCTCCACTCTCCCCCTCCTCGGCGCTGGTTCCCCAGACACAGACAGGCATGAGCCGTCCAGGAAATCGTCAGCAGAGGGCTTTGAGGGGCTTGTGATTCTCAGAAAGAATTGCTCTTTTGTGGCAAAAGAGATCATCCAACAAAGTTAAATGGCCTGAATATTTATCCCGGGCTATTCTCTAGTATTCTTTGGAGGAAGTTAATATAACTTGAGGTAACAGCGAAGGAGGAAAGTTTAAACAGGTTTGCCATGGTCAGTTTCATCAGACTCTTTTGCAGCCCCATGGACTGCAGCCAGCCAGGCTTCTCTGTCCATGGGATTTCTCAGGCAAGGATACTAGAGTGGGTTGCCATCTCCTCCTCCAGGGGATCTTCCAGACCCAGGGACGGAATCCACATCCCCTGTATTGGCAGGCAGATTCTTTAGCCCTGAGCCACCAGGGATGTCCTGTAAACAGGTTAAATAAATAGAAACAAATGAATGGGGCAGCATGTTAAGCAAGGCCCTTTGACAACAGTGCAAATGTTCATTTTTAACTCTCCTACCTCAGGGTAGGGCAGGCATAGATATACCTAAGTTTGGTCCCACGGGCCAAAGTGGTCCTCCAGCCTGGCTCCAAGCTTAAAGCCAGCTCTGTGTTAAAATACTTCGGACTCCTCTGAGGGAGGACACTGCAGGGCCATTTTCAGCAGATGTTGAACTATATTTTTTATTTCAGGTCTCAGAAAGGCAGTTCGATTATTGTGGAGTATTTGGTACAAGACAAATTAGCGGCACTGTATCCATTAGGCCACATTGTATTTTAAAGGATGTTCTTTGTTTTCACCATAGCTTTGGTCAGATTTATGGGGGAAATTTAAACTGTGCCTTTTTGCATCTGTGTACTATTTGAATCCGAAAGTCTTGGAGGGTATGCAAACTTGGAGGGTAGGTCAGTTACACTTTGGATTAAATCTGAGATAAGTGTGTAGATATCATCCACAGAAAATATATGCGTCTTTTTTGAATATATAGGTCCAAGTTAGAAGCATAATTTTCTACAATTTTTTTAGTTGTTTTTGAGATAAGCAATAGCAAACCCTGGTCACTAACTGTACACCTTGGAAATGACCCATAGGCAGTTCCTATAGGCTTCTTAAAGGGTGGGTGATCTCTGTTCTTCTAACATAATGGGTACTTCAGGATATTAGTAAGTGCACAATTTGAAAATATTGAAAAATAAAAACCATGCTGGGTCATGTTCCATCTTGGAATGACTCACTGCTGCCATCTTTTGCCTCTTACTTACAGATGGTTTCTGTAAAAAGGAATAATCTGAATTCCCTAGTTCACTATGAGACCAAAAATTATTAACTCATTATTTTCAGGTTGTAGTACTGAATGCTAAAAGAGAAATCTTTACTTTTTCTTCTGTGTATACATCAAAAGAGCTGTGTGATTCAGAAACCCATCTCAATATTGAAAGTTCTACCTCGTGATTTTTCAAATCACTTCAAAATTTGAAGCAAATAGGTTTTTCATCAGGTTGGGAAGATCCCCTAGAGTAGGGAAAGGCTACCCACTCCAGTATTCTCGCCTGGAGAATCCCATGGACTGTATAATCCATGGGGACACAAAGAGTCAGACAGGAATGAATGACTTTCACTTTCACTTTCATGTTTTACATGGGAATTTTATTTACTGTTTTTAAGAATAAGACCAAATAGTTTAGAATATTCTTATATATTAATGTATCATGTTATATCATTTAAAGTATGCCAAGTCTAGGAGAGTGACACTTGTTTGATTGAAGTGATTTAAATATAGCAATGCAACTTGCCTTGAGGTTCAAAGAGAAGATAATAGTCCTGTAATTTTTAAAGTGAATTAATCATTGATAAACAACTGGAAATTCCTCAAGTTGGAATGTTAAACTATGAGTGATTTTTATTGCTGCCCAGGACTTAAATATGAGTAGTAATGACACTCCTTTAAAATTTACAATTTAAAGTTTAAATAAAATTCTTTAAAATAGGAGCATAACTATATATATATATACATATACATATATATATGCGTGTGTGTACACATATATATTTGTTGTTGTTGTTTAAGTCACCANTATATATATATATATATATATATACATATACATATATATGTGTGTGTGTGTACACATATATATTTGTTGTTGTTGTTTAAGTCACCAAGTTGTATCCGACTCTTCTGTGACCCCAGTGAACTGTCTCCCACTAGGCCCCTCTGTCCATGGGATTCTCCAGGCTGGAGAATGTACTGGAGTACATTGCCATTCCCTCCTCTAGGGGACCTTCCTCCAGGGACAGAACCCAGGTCTCCTGTGTCTTCTGCATAGGTAGGTGGATTCTTTATCACTGAGTCACCTAGGAAGCCCATATATACATATATATATATACATATATATATATATGACTAATAAACACTGCTACCAGTGATAAAAGTATTTGTTACCAGAATATGTTATTCTATTTTTAAAGACTTTCAAAGTAAGTTAACTAATTTGAATTAGCCATTTTAATTAAGACCAATGTTCAGGTTATTGAATTATTTGGTTTGAAACTTCACACTTTCACACAAACTACCTTTTACTACTGCTACTCTTCATGTGATGATGCCATTCATTCATTCATTCATTAACCAGCAAATGTTTATTGAACATCTTCTGTGGTTCAGATGTGGGATAAAATTGGGGGAATCAAGAGTACACATAGACAAGAAAACAAAATCCCTACCTTCATGGCATTGAATTATAAATTGGGGTTATAAGGTGATGGAAGAAAAGAAAGCACACTGAGAGATAACCATGCTCAAGTTGCCTTGAAAGTTAAAGTGAAAGTGTTAGTCGCTCATTCCTATCACACTCTTCACGACCCCATGGACTGTAGCCTGCCAGGCTCCTCTGTCCATGGAATTCTCCAGGCATGAATACTGGAGTGGGTAGCCATTCCCTTCTCAAAGGGATCTTCCCAAATCTGGGATCAAACCCAGGTCTTCTGCATTGTAGGCAGATTCCTTACCATCTGAGCCATGCTTATTGCTTTCTAAGAAGTAAGACATGGACTAAAATAATCATCAATACCATAGGCATATAAGGCATATAGACAATTTGCTATATGCTTATAGTATTGATGATATGCTTATGGTATTGATGAGTCTTTTATTCAATGTCTTTCCTTCCATGTTTTCTCATTGTTTTTGCCTCCTCCTGGTATTTTGTGTTTTAGGCCAGGAATGGTGAGAAAATAGGACTTATAGTACTGAAGCAAAGCAAGAAGGATACAGTGCGTTCAGTAATGGTTGAGGTTCTTAGAGATCCTTGGAGATCATTGAAGATGCTTAGAGGTCTTGGGGGATCTTTGGAGATCTGGGGCTTCCCTTGTGGCTCAGCTGGTAAAGAATCTGCTTGCAATGCAGGAGACCTGGGTTCAATCCCTGGCTTGGGAAAATTTCCTGGAGAAGGGAACAGCTGCCCACTCCAGTATTCTGGACTGGAGAATTCCATAGACTGTGTAGTCCATGAGGTCACAAAGAGTTGGACATAACTGAGTT